AACCTCAAGGCTCTGTCATGGTACTCTAAATGACATTGTTAAAGACTAATTTGTGTTTGTCCTGTAATTGGTTTATGTCCCAGATTGGGACTCTTCCAAATTCCTTCGCATATTACTTTATATTTTTTCCTTCAGAGAGCAGTTTATAACCCAAAAAGGGTAATGCACTGTGTGACCATTATAACCTAAAGAAATTATTTTTCTGCAATTAAAGTTTGTATTCTGTTATCCAAGAAAAAATGCATGTATGATAGAAAAAAATGGCAAGAAACTTTAGTACAAAGCTTGAAGATCTAATCATCATCAACAACAACCCACTGGCATAACACACCACGCACACCAGCCCTACAATGCAACTTCCCGAAGCAAAACACAAATCAACTGAGTTTGCTCCTTCATCTCTCAAAATGAAGCTATGATCTCTTATCCATAAAAGAAGCCAACAATTTCCATTCTAATAGGGTAACTATCAGTGACAAGGTAACAGGAAGAGGATGCAATATATCCATTCACTTGACAAGGTTGAGTAAAGGTCTTTCTTCGTCACCATCGCTTTGCCATTCTAATTAGACAAAATGGTCTGTGTTCTATTAAATAAGATTACAATTTTCTGTTAAATTCAATTTTTAGATATGAAAGATTTCTAAGTCCTTCAAGGCAAAGTTTATGATGAACAAACACACCTAGTTTACTATGAGTAGAGGACCACAGAGTTTATTAACACAACTACAATATACAAAATCTAATTATTTTATGACAAGTACCTAGACAAAAAATAATGAGATTTACCTCTACATTCGCAAGATCAGCCAATGCATGAAATGCAACATGATACACAGTAAGCAACCGATTCACAAAACCACCCCGCCGACGAACATACTCAGCAGTAGGCATATTGTACAGCTCTTCATCAGTGATGCCCATCATGACATTTTCTGCTGTGGTTTTTGATTGGTCCACGGATGCCCAACCCTTGGACTGCTCAACCAGCTCAATGATCTTTGTGCAAGAAAAGAAAATATGAGAGATACTTACAAGAAGCAAAGAGAGATAATAATTTCGAAAAAGCGAGCTGAGATTTATTACTTTGGAAGCTACATCATCTGAAAGAGGTATCCTATTTCTGTGTGCAGTTATTAGGCCTGCATAGCAAAATCTGTTCAAACCAAGACCACCTGCAGTCATCTCCTTGACTATTGGCAACCTGCAATATGCAGAGTTTTAGTGTGGCTGTTAGTAATTGGTTCAAACTAAAAACATAGCTGCCTTTTATTTGCGGTAAACTATCCTCCCTAATTCTTCCCATAACATTCTTTGCTCTTTATGAACCTAGCTTATGAAAGATAGGCTTCTAACAGAGATAGGAAAAAGTCGTGGACTGCAGTGAGAGTAAGAAAATGTAAGCCAGTAGTTTGGAGAAATAATAAGCTAAATATCTAGTCCTGAAATGTAACAGGAAAACAATTTTGGACAGAATGAGTGTATACATACAGACATCACCAAAAAGTAAGTTTGACATATACGCTTTCATTCAGTTTAGAAACGTAAAAACTAGAAATAGGAAAAAAAATGCGCGCGCACACACACACAATGTAAGACCATTTGACAAGTAGCTTACACTCGATCTAATCTGCCCAAGGCTGCGCATGCATTTAGTAGACAAACATAGGTCTCCCCGTTGAGTTTGACTCCATATCTCTTCATTTCTTCTAAAAGCTACAGTAAAAGAATGATTCTCATCAAAATAAAATGACCATTAAACCAATCCTGATCAACCTGGATATACAGAAATAAAAAAAGACAAAATAAATATACCAGAATTGCCTGGTCTGAATTATGGCACTTCCCACAAGTTGAGATTAAGAAGTTGTACAATGCAACCTGAAACAAAATCCACAAAATTCCTTGTAGTCACAAATACATATTTATGCACAATGTATCACTGAATGAACCCACCAAACATGACTATGAATAATTTGTAAGTTGTAATTGCAGCTATGCTTGTTCTATTTAAAGTACTTCCGCATTAGTATCTTTACAACATTGGCTTGAAAGAATACAGTTGCATTACTATCTTTACACTTAGGTCTGAAGAACAAAACAACCCTCACCCTTCCACAAGATCCTACCCGAAAAGAAACCACACAAAAAAAAAAACTCTTAGATAATTATAACGGAGATATCTGCATGATACATAAAACCTCATTTTCCTTCACAGTGTGCCACAGTTGAGCCAATCAATAAATAAGCACAACTTCAGAACTAGAAAAATCGTCACTCAGAATATAAAAGCATAATGACGGAAGTTCTGATAGCTTAACTAAAATCTAACCACAAAGATTCATCTTTTGTACAAAGAATAACCAATTTCATTCAGGTCACTACTCAGACAGAAACTAATTACCAAAAAGGGTGCCTAAATTATGCTCACGGATGCCTACTATTTATTGATATATGAGACTTATCGAACCACAAAGAGAAACCAGAGGGGAACTGAAAAGTCTAATAATAGCACTGGAGAACTCCTGGAAAATCATTAAATGAGACCTTCTTATGATTGAAGTTGAAACCTATTGCATAAATTCCTCTTCTTTATGACGAAAAACGAATTACACTCCAGTCAGCACTCACGAATAACCACAAAGTGCTGCCTAATTCATGAAATTTACCACTCATTGTATAAAAAAACTAGTAATTGGGAACTTGTCACGGTACAAATCCCATCTAGAAAAAGATTCCTACTTTCATTAATTTATAACCAATATCATTCAGGTCAATATCCGCAAACTAAATAATGCCCAGACTACAGTACCCAATCATGGAACAAATAGAAAATTCAACAGCTCTGCTCATAGCTGCCCGCTACTTGCTGAAACGATAAATCATCCAAATGCATAACAAAATTTAATTGTTAAGGGAGAGAAAATTACATCAGGGATTACACCCATTGCTTTCATCTCATCTCTGAAAAAGAATGCATCTTGCAGACGAGACCCTTTCATAGTCCCAATGATAAGTGAATGGAAAGTATCCCTCTCTGGCTTCACCCCATCAAGCATCATATCATCATAAACATCCCTCAGTAGATAATGCCTTCTTTGAGCAGTGAGAGAGTTGATAACGGTGTTGTATTCGGATTCATTGTTGGCGTAATTTTTCCTGGCGTATTCATCTGCAGAATATCCTGCAAAGTATCTGCGCCCAATTGCTCGAAGAACAAACCGATTGTGGCCTGAAAAATTCAAGAAAAATGAAACCAATTATTTAAATTTCGATTTTTGATGGAAATGCATGTGGGTTTTTGTTGGGAAGTAGTACCGGATATGGATTGGAGGAGCTTCATGATTGTGGTGTTCTGGAAGAGCAGAGAGAGCCAGCGAGGGTTTAAGGTTTTTGGGACGATATGACTATGCGAATTTTATTTTTCGAACCAGGATTTTATCGATTTTGATGATATAGCCCTTGAATTATTTATAACATGTTCAAATTGGTACTTGAAAATTTGTTCTTTTTTTTTTGTACGAGAAAAATTTGTAAGCCATGCAGACTTAATAGTTTCTTTCAGCACCCCAGTTTTCCTTTATTTTTTTGGGGTATCATTAACTTTAGTAGATAATTTTTCATACTAGCTCTTAAAATAGAGAAAAGAAGTTTAATTTACCCTACATTTTTTTATTCCACAAAAACAAAAGAAAATTAATTAATTTTTTCTTTTTTTCTTCCACAGGGCCTTGACCTGATTTCCCAAAATTGGGAACCCAAGTTCAGTTCATCTCTACTCCACGGGAATTTCTTCTAGAGGTACATACGAGGAGGGAATCGGCGCCCAAAATTGAGAACCCAACTTCAATTCAGACTTTAGATAGACGTTTTCCATTCTCGGATTGCTTTAAGTCTTACCAAAGAAACAGCCAAGCCAAAAACTCCAAATTACCCAAGTCCTGCATCAAATACGGCCCTGAGGGTAATCCTTTTTTCCCCCTTCTTTTTTTTTCTATCCAATTCTATGGTAAGTGTTTTCGGAGTAATTGATGAATTGGGACTTGGGTTTCAGGGTACCCTTGTGAAAGAGAAGAAGAAGAAGAGGTCCATATGATATTATGACTACTATCCCAGGAGAGCATGGTCAGACCATGAATTAACGGAGGATGATGTTCCTCTCTTCGTGATAATGGGACGTATCGTCATAGATCTTGTGAGGACTCGTAAAAACTATTATTTTTAAACCTAATTTGTGGCTTAATAAATTATTTAATTGGATATTTGCCTCGAGGAATATTTTCTAGTCTTATTAGACCTAAATACATGGTAATATAACTTCGTTATATTTTTAAAGTAACTCATTTCACGAATTAATTTCCTGGAGCGCGTTTAGTAAAAATAGTGAATAGTGCTTGGAGATTTTATCCGCTTGAGAGTACAATAAGTTTGGAATATTGGAGACATGTACAATGGACCTAAATTCGGTATTTTAATGTTTAAATACTCAAGTGATAGTTATTAGTACTATCGTTATAAGAATTTCCCGGAGGTTTCGCGTTATAGCGTAAAAAAATTGACGGTACGCGTTTTCACACGCGCGACTTTATTTGAGGGACTTTAGACCCTTATTTCGGGACAATTAAGAGTGAATATTATCTACATGAATATAAATGCATTAGAAGTTTAGTGCACTGGTGAACCAAACGCGCGAGAAATCGAGCCTTAATCGCGCCAAACGGCTCCTAATGTGAGTTGACTAATGGGTGATTTGTGGCCACAAGTTAGTATCTTCTCATGGAAGCTTAAAAATCTGATCACTCTCTCTCTCTCTTGCTCCCTCATCTGGCCGAACAACAAAACAAGAAAAACAGCTCAAGAGTTCTTCAAATTCCTCCATCAAATCTTCACCAAATCATCTCCAAATTCAACCAAACTTGCACCACACTTAGATTAACACTTGAGGAGTATTTTGAGCTGCAAAAAGGGAGCTGAAAAGCCACGGTTTTCTGGAGCAAAGAGTGACAAAAAATTTCTGATCTAGTCATCCAAGAAGGTAGCAAATCATCCAACCCATAGATCTTAGTTTTTGTAAGATATATTGCACATATAAGGTTATATAATCATGTGGGTAGTCTTGTTTATGGTATAAAATGTGAAAGTGGGCTATATGAACTCCCACTCTTGGGTTGTTGCTGATTTGATGATTGATGGTGGATATATTGTTGGTTTAGTGGTTAAAATGATGGATTAATGGTGTGTAATTGATAGAAACTTCATTGGGTACAAGAAGCAAAAGTGACCGTTTTACCCCTGCCTTGTCCGACCATTTGTGTGCAAAATTTTGAGGTTCTAATGACCTGATTATGTTGTTTACATGTTATTGTGAGTGTGTACAAAATTTCATTGAAAAATAACATGATTTGGTTAGTCAAATGAGTTGATTTCCAAAGTTAGCAAAACTGGAAAATGAATCCCGTATTGCCCAGGCAGTCATTTTGTATCGGCCATAACTATTTGCTCCGATGTCGAAATCAAGTGCCGTTTGTAGCAATGGAAACTAGACATTCCCAACTTTCCATTGGTACCAAATGCACGTTCTGGTTCCACTTGAGTAAGCCACACCATTCGTTTGAAAATCACTGCCCTGTTTCGTTGCTCTCCAGGAGACAGGACAGAAATTGCTTCTTGATGCTCAAAAACGAGCTGTTTGTGAATGGAATTTGAAAATGGTTTCTTCTGAGAAAATTCATCTTTATGTGAGAGCTTTCCAACGCCATCAACCATGCTCGATTCCAAGTTGAATTGAGTGAGTTGTGGCCATATTTCGAAACTGATGCAGTGAGTAAAAATCCTCTTTTGACTAGTTGAATGGCCTAGCTTGATTTGGGACTTGTTGTTTTGAAAACTTTGATGTCCAACATCTACCAAACTTTATATTAGATGCTCCTTGGACTTTGTTTTACAAATAAACCAGATTTGGGTTGGTTGCATTGGACAAAATGTTTAAAAAGAAAGAAGAGCTAAAAGACAGTTTTGCCTTGGGAAATTTCTTGAACTTTGATGGTTTAATTAACTACCTTTCCGTGTGAAATTTCAATTGAAATTTGATAGAGGAGTGGTCCTCATATGGAGGTTTAATTGTGCAAAATTTGGTGATATTCTAAGACCATTTTGATATGCAAATGATGCCCCAAAATTCGCTCACCGAATCTGGAAACTTTTCGTTTTCTCTTGAGCCTCGATTATTAATAATTCAGGCCCAATTCATGAATTCCCTTTAGATTGTACAACCTTCTTTGATAAGTAGGAGTTCTAAGTGTTAGTGTATAATAGTTAATGGTTATTTGCTCAGGCGCTCAAGGGGACCTTCAAGAAGAACTCGAAGTGGACGCCTAGACACTTGTTTGAGTATTTACTCTCTTGTTGCAATAGGTGAGTGTTCCATATAGGAATACGTAATTGGAATAAGTCTATGACATGCTTAACCCATGGTCATTAAGTGTTAAGTGCTATATGATAAGAATTTACCACACTCATGCATATTCGAATGAGGTATACTTGAATTGCTCGACATGAAATACTTGAAGTATGTATACTTGAATTGCTCGACATGAAATACTTGAAGTATGTATATTTGAACTATTCGATATGAAATGCTTAAAGAGCATATTTATGTGATTATTTGAAATGCTAGATTTGAAATGCTTGGAGAGCATATATACATGATGTGTTTACATGATTAATTATGCTATGGCAGCATAAATCGGTTGGAGTGAATCTCCCTGACTCTTACGTGGTAAAAGTGGAAAACGGCCAATGACGGCCTATTAAAATGACATATGTCTACCAATTAACCGTAATTACCACCGTTAACCGTTTACCGTTTACTGTTAACCGTGTTTACTTACCGTTTTATAATCTATGTGGTTACTTGCTTACTTGATTATCATGAATCACATGTTATATGAAGTTGTCCATCATTGTTAGGCGAGTGTGTACTTTACCTCACTCGACCTATTCAAATGATGAATTTTATTTTTGTCGAATTACTTGGTTACCTGTGCATGTTGTAAGCTATAAGCTGAACTTGGGCCCTGCCTCGGTTACTGACCTACTCGAGCCAGGACTGGGCTCGGTCGGGTAGGTTGGAGCCCTGGACAACCGTTTCGGTATACTCGAGTATTACCACTGGAGGGATAAGGTGATGGCCAGTCAAACCGAGGGGATCCGGAAGTCATAAGGTGCAGTTGACCGACAGAGTTCCACTGGAACACCGTATCCTACAGTATATGTTTACCTGGTATCATGATAATTGTTTCATGCTAAAATGCTAATATGAAATCCTGAGCTATGCCTGTAATAAGCTCCAATCACTCGTGAACTATACATGCCAATGTCTTGAACCATGCATATGATATGCCCAACTTACTTGATTTATTTGAATTGTTAGAGTGTCTTGGAACCTCACTGGGCTGTGTAGCTCATCCCACGTTGTGGTTTTCTTTTACAGGGTTCGAGACCAAGGGTGCTCGTGAGTAGTACTAGATTATTTTCTTTTGAAGACTTTAAATTAGATTATAACGGATGGCTATTGTACCCTTTTCCGTTGGGTTGTATTTAAGCTTGAAAGCTGCATAATTGTAAGTGTGAGATATTTGAAGTACTTTAATTATGTATTGAAGTTACTTAAAGTATTTCGAGCTTTTGAATAATGGATTGTAGTGAGTCCTGGCGAGAGCTGGGCAGGCGTCCTGCGGATACCCTTTGGTTCGCCTTAGGGAGAAGTGGGGGCGTCACAGATCTGGTATTCGTAATCGTGCTAATTATGTGTCATATAACAGAGACTTAAACTGAAGAAAGTTAGATGAAGGCGTGTTTCTATGAAGGAAGTCGTGAAAAGTGGTGAAGAGGCGCAGTAGAAGGCGTGGAATCAGAATCATGCCTTTACTAAAAATCAGCTCAAGAAATGCGAGTTCATCAACAAGTGGTCCTACAACTGAATTTGGCACAAGAAGGCCACGTGTCCAAGTTGGATTGGTAGTAATGAGGAGTTAGTTATTAGTCTCATTTTATGTAGGAAAGATTTGGGTGATGGCAGGGGAGAATGCTTTTGTAATCAAACAGATTGGGACCATTCCCAATTTCTTTTCCCTTTCCCCAAGTTTCCTTCTCTTTTCTTGTTCATCTTTTGTATCTCTTCCCGCCATATCTTGTAAACTCATTAGCCATTATCAATATATCAACGTTGAGCTGGTTTCTGATTATTTCTCATTTTTGTTAAATTCTAAGAAAGAATCTGTGTTATTCTTGCTGTCGGTTTACTCCCATATCCACAGTTTTGCTCGATACCATCACAGTGGTATCAGAGCAACGGCTACGAGCCATTGGGATGACTAAAACGTAGGATAAAATGCTGAGGAAAGCTCAACAACTAAGTTGGGAAGTGCAGTACGTACGTTTGCCAATAGAAATGATGGGCTGGAGCAGGCTGTGAGGACAATGGAACATAGGCAAGAGAACACTGAAAAGGTTATCAAAGGTCTGGATCATAAGTATGAAGGAATGATGAACATGATGGCCCAGATCATGGCCAAGCTGAATGATAAAGGAAAAGAAGTAGAGACGTATATCTCTGGACATGATCAGAGGATTGATTTGACTAAGGAAAGACCTGAGAAACTGGAAGGAAGGGGGAACTCTAAGTTACCCAAAAATGGATTTCTCTATGTTTGATGGAGATAACCCCGGGGAATGGGTTAGAAGAGCAAATAAATATTTCCAGATCCACGGAGTAGAGGATGAATTGAAATCAGATATTGCTCAACTATATTTCAGAGACAGAGCAGATGTCTAGTTCCATGGGATGTATCGTGAGAGAGAGATAGTTGCTTGGAAGAAGTTATCAGCAACTATCTATGAGAGATCTGGAGGAGGATCTTCAGAAGAAGCCACTGAAGAGTTCAACAAATTGACTTAGATTGGAAGTGTGGCTGAGTACTTGGAGAAGTTTGAACTACTAAAATCACTGGTAATGCCTTCTCTCCCAGGACAATCTGATTCTTATTATAAATCTTGTTTCTCAGGTGGACTTAAAGAAGAAATGGTAAACATGGTAAATATAGCCAAACCCCAGAGTCTAGCAGATGCTATAGAGGTTGCCAAATTACAGGAAAAGAATTTGGAAGCTATTAAAAGGACATAGAAAGTTGTAACCCAAAATTATTCTGCATCACCAGTTGGTATTAGACAAACTCCTAATTCTCAGATGAAATCCAGATGGGCTAATGATCATTATAAGAGGATTGAAAATTTTAACAACAGAAGTCATAAGGGAGAGAGTCCTTCATCTGAACAATTTAAAAAGATTACTCCATCAGAATTCAGTTATAGGAGAGAGAAGGGGTCGTATTATAAGTATGCGGAACCTTATACTCTGGGCAATTTCTGCAAACAAGCTCAGATGCAGTTTATCTTAGTGGATGAACACACTGACAATACTGAAATCACAGAGGAACAATGTGAAGAGTTTTGTGACTGTATTGAAGGGGAAGTAAGTAAGGAGAAGATAGGGGTATCCATTAATGCACTGGCTAGTAGAAATGAACATAAAACTATTAAACTAAAAGGGAGAAAGGGAGGTTTTGATATTGGTGGATAGTGGTAGTACTCATTGTTTCCTTGATGAAAGGCTAGCTACACACCTTCAACTAACAGTGACTGGAACTTCTTTGGTAGTCAATGTAGCTAATGGAGAAAAATTGGAATCCAGGCAGCTTAGTAAACCTCTAAGATGGATGGTACAGGGGAATAACTTCTCACATCCTTTCAATACTCTAAAACTGGGAAGTTGTGATATGGTGTTGGGAGTTGACTGGTTGGCTATGAATTTGATTTTAAGGGATTGACTATTAAATTCCATTGAGGGAATGAACTGGTAATGCTTAAAGGAGAGATTGGAAAACTAAACCTCAAGGTTACTAAGGGTAGCAGGTTGGAAAAATGGAGAAAGAAACAAGTATATGGGATTACTGCCCAACTATATATGGTAGAAGAGGGACCAGGAGTATAGAAGGAGATCTCAACAGACATGGAAAGGATCTTGAGCCAATACGATGATGTGTTTGCTAAACCTAAAGGACTACCTTCCACGATGAGTCATGACCATGGAATTCCATTGAAAGATGGGGCTAAGCCATTTCAGGTCAGACCTTATAGGTGCCCCTATGTGCAAAAATCTGAAATCGAAAGATCAGTGCAGGAAATGTTGCAGATGGGGATCAGTTAGCCCAGTAACAGCTCTTTTGCACCCCCAATACTATTGATGAAAAAGAATGATGGCAGTTGGAGATTCTATGTGGACTACAAGCAACTCAATGAGCTTATAGTGAAGGATAAGTTTCCTATGCCCTTTGCCCTTAATTGATGAACTTATAGATGAATTGCAAGGAGCCAAGTACTTTACTAAAATTGATCCGAGGGTAGGCTATCACCAAATAAGAGTCAAAGTGGAGGATAGGCATAAAACTACATTTAGAACTCATCAGGGGTTGTATAAATTCAAGGTTATGCCTTTTGATTTGACCAATGTCCCTGCTTTTTGGTTAGAGGGAGTTTCCTGAATTCCAATCTTGAGGTCAAGATTGATTGAAGGGGGAGCAATTGTCATATAATAGAGACTTAAACTGAAGAAAGTTAGCTGAAGGCATGTTTCTATGGAGGAAGACGTGAAAAGTGGTGAAGAGGCGCAACAGAAGGCGTGGAATCAGAATCACGCCTTTACTGAAAATCAGCTCAAGAAACGTGAGTTCATTAGCAAGTGGTCCTATAACTGAATTTGGCATAAGAAGGCCACATGTCCAAGTTGGATTGGTAGTACTGAGGAGTTAGTTATTAGTCCTACTTTATATAGGAAAGATTTGAGTGATGGCATAGAAGAATGCTTTTGTAATCAAAGAGATTGGGACCATTCCCAATTTCTTTTTCCTTTCCCCAAGTTTCCTTCTCTTTTCTTATTCATCTTCTGTATCTCTTCCCACCATATTTTGTAAACTCATTAGCCATTATCAATATATCAACATTGAGTTGGTTTCTGATTATTTCTCATTTCGTTAAATTCTAAGAAAGAATCTGTAACATTCTTGCTGTTGGTTTACTCCCATAGCCACAGTCTTGCTCGATACCATCACATTGGGCAAGTTAGTTCTTTTATTCAATTTCTAATGGATTATCCGGCAGTTTCTAATGACCATCACCGCCGTGATAGCTTTTGCTATGTTTCTTTTTTATTGCTCTTTAACACTCTACAGAATTTTCGGGGCTTCTTCTTCTTGTTCAGAAAAAGGCGATATTGAAGAGGAGTGTCAATATGAAGGTTTCTTGATGTATTTTTAGGGGGTTTTTCTTCTTTTTTTTCCTGGTTGTTTTATTATGTAATAGTTCTGTTAGCTTAACTGCTTCCTAGCATTCTTACCGGACAGCAGCCAATTTCAACTCTTGGAGATAAGCCATAAATTGCCAAATCAAAGGTTATTTCTCCTTTGCGAGTTGCACTTTTATCTCTTCTTGCTAGTTCTATTATGTAATTCCATTACAACCAATTTCAACTATTTGTTAGCTGCTTTTTTGACATCTAGTTTTATAGATAATTAATGCTTTGTTACTGATAATAGATGCTTTTATTGCATAAGACGGATGTTGGATTCGCTTAGTTTATAGAGCTATATGCATGAGAATTGGTAGAAAGATGGCAAGTCAACTTTCTTATTAGATAAAGTTTGCAATTTAAAGAAAACTGATGCCTCTTGCCAAAAGTAAATTCTTGTGATCTGTACATCTTGTGCTGGTAATTAGCGTAATCTTTTTGAAACAAACATTTGGTTAGTAGTAAAGCTACTTTCTTTGACCGCCAAAGAAAGTTAACCTACTTGCCACTTCCTGGTTTTCTTCCCACCTGTAAAGTATGACTGACAATAATCATAGTAATCTTTAGTTACATGTAAAACTTACGAAGAAAAAGGTCCCTTAAACACATATTGAAGGAAAAAGCACTGAGAACTGAAACTTTGCTCTGCATCATGTGAGATATGCATGAAAATAGTACATCATCCTAATAGTCTCACTGCTCAGCAATACAAACATGGAAGCATTTC